TCACATACTATATAGTTCATGATAGCTTTAATGAATCAGACCTATGAAATCAAAGGTGCTTTAGTGCTTTAAGAACTGCATAAAGAATAATTACTTGTTTTTAATGTAAGATAAACCATGTAATACATAAAGACTATTAAAGTATTGTCAAATCAAGAGATAACACTGTAATCTCTTTTGGTCCCAATTTATCTAAGCATTAAAATAGTAATGCACCTATGAGTCCCCCTTTTTCCTTTATTTCTTTTTTTTTTTCTTTTTCTTCTTCTTTTTTTTTCCTTTTAGGTACCTGGGATTAAATACAGGGATGCTATACCACTGAGCTAAATCTACAGCCCTTTTTAAAATTTTGAGACACGGTATCACTAAATTTCCCAGTTTGGCTTTGACCTTGTGATTGTTTTGCCTCAGCCTCCTGAGTAGGTAGGATTACAGGTGTGTGCTATTGTACCTAGTTTACAAACCGTAGAATATTATAATCAGGAACAAAACTGATTTATAAACTAAAGGAAATAATTCCATATTAAATTTCTAAAATTATAAGCAAAACTAGTTAAATTTAAATTAAATTTAAAGAAAATAATAAACTTTGAGAATAAAATTATTTTTTCAAAGTAGCCTACAGGTAATCCAATGTTTTCAGGGTTAAATTCTTACTATATTATGGGAGTACATAAAATACAACAAAATAACTGGTCAGTGCACATGAATAAATTATTTAAATTTTAAATAATCAAGTACACTCAAAATAAATTTGGCATTTTCAATTTTTCCTGCCTGAGTTTATTTGGTAAGAATATCAGTGATGAAATGGTAAAGATACTTTATGTTATTATTCATTGTCTACAACTATTAGCTATCAAAAAATTATAATAGGTTCTAAAATAAATCAGATCGTTTTCTTTGAAAAGCTAAAATATCAAAAAATATCATGTCAATACCTAGTGAAATAGCACTATACTTGATATTAAGCCTATTTTTTTCCATTACCAATTTTAAAACTTTTGGTATAGTTTTGGACCATAAAACTTTAGGACCAGTTTTCCACTCTTTTCATTAATTGAAATGTTCTGTTAGCTGGGCAAAGTGGCACATGCCTGTAATACAAGCGACTCAGAAGGTTGGGGCAGGAAAACCACCAAATTTTAGGTCAGCCTGGGAAATTTAGTGAGGCCCTAAGCAACCTAGGGAGATCCTGTCTCAAAAAAAAAAAAAAAAAAAAAAAATTAAAAAGGACTGGGATGTAACTCATTAGTAAAGCATTCCTAGGTTAAACCTGTAGTACCCAAAACAAAAACAACCACTCTCGATAAATATCTTCTTATTTTAAATTTTGGATCACAGAAATAAGAGAAAAAGAATACAAATTATGAATCACAATTTTTTGAATAAGTTATATGTGCAAGGCACTGGACTAAGTGATTTCATTATTATAATAACACAATGAAATAAATATTAGATAGATGAATAAGTTTGATAGATGAAGAAGCTATTTTAAAAGCTTTCCTAAGCTCATTAGGCATGTATACAGGCAAGATTTAAACCCAGTCCATCTATCTCCTACATCTGTACTTATACCATACAGCTATACTTTCAGTATGTTATAGATATAATAATTTTATTGCTATAGAAATCTTAATGTAATATACTGAAATATCTAGAAGTAAGACATAAAATTAATTTTTATGATGTTAAAACATATGTATGGATGCTTGCTGACAAATGCATGATGTAGATTACATAGTTGTACCAAATACCAGTTTACCTCTCATAGTACTCTGATCCTTCTTCTAAGCCAGGGAGAATACCAGTTAGCAACCCTTGTAGACCAGGCTTCAGTGTTTTACCCAAAGGCAAGTAATATATCTCATATAAACTGAGCAAAGTTGGTTTCACAGACATGGCAGCATTTCCAAGAAGAGGAAATAATCCAGAACTATTTAAAACAACAACAAAAGGAGGAAGGGGAAAAAGTAAAATAATGACAAAATATCAGTTCATTTGTAATTATAACTCTATATAAATCTTTTATGTTTTGAAGAAATAGTAAACGTACTGGCTGCTTTAAAATGATACTATAAATTGAAGACTTCTACATACATTAAACTATACCAGTTTTCTCACCTGAGCTTCATACTGAAGAACCCAGGAGCAACTTAGCTATTTGATGAAGTCCACATATTTCATAATTCCCAAACAGAATTCTCCCCTTTTCACTAAAACCAGTTTCTTACTATAATACTGCCATTTCAAAATACTGTTATCACCATCTATCTGGCTCACTCTAGACCCTTTAAGAAAAAGTCTTCCACTCCAAAAATCAATCATCAGGTTTTCTCTCCATATCACACTCCTTGATATTTTTTTGAATATAATAAATTCTCTTTATCTCTACCAGACACGTACCTAGAAGAGACCACCATTATTTTATCATCTTAACGAAATTGTTGGTCTCAGTTGAACTTTCATTAGTTTCCTATTGGCAATGTGGCCTTATCTTAAGATTCGGCTACTGCATGCTTCTGTACACCCCATGTACACTCACCAATTTTGTCCCTCGCACCCTCTACTCCAGCTATACTGGATGATTCCTCACTGATTTCTTTACTTATATCCTTTTTGTATGTCTGGGTGATCCTTAAATGTTCAAGTCCAGCCTATGTCATTTTCTTAAGGATACTGCCTCCTAATTAGACTAGGTTAGGTTCCCTAATTGAAGTTTCCATTGTACTTAATACTATCTTATTAGAACATTTATTGCTTTAAATTGTTTCATGTGTCTTCTTTAAAAGACTGTAAATATCAGAAACCCACAGAAATATCATGATGTTTTTTTATTTCTGTATTTAAGTCCTCAGTACCATGTCTGCACTTAGGAGGCACTTAACAACTGAATTATGACTCTCTTACTTCTAGTTTATATACAAAATAGAAATAATCTTCAACTCCTTACATTTCTGCCTCCAATTTTAGATACAGATTGACCTAAAGATATCTTTAGGTCACATATAATTATAGTCAGCCTTTGAGACTACTTTCTTTCATGTGCCCCAGGGACCATTGTTTTTAATTTGCCAGGGACCAGCCTCATTCATTTTCCTTTTTCTTTCCTGTAATTTCTATCTTCTTCCACCAAAATCTTTGCTTTTCAACATTGTACTCAAATATTTCTGCATGATTCTAAGAAGAGAATAAATAACAGCAACAACCAAACTCCAAAACCTTTATTTTAACTACCTCCTTGATTAAAGCTGCCAAGCTATATCAACTTTTAAGGGAGGAGAGATATATACACGTGTGCATGTATTCATGCATTTCTTCCAACTTATCACCTCTGTGTCTTAAATCATGATAGTTCTACATGTGATGCTGTAATATAAATTTGGCTTTCCTTTTTATTTCACTTTTTAAAATTGGTGCATTATAGTTGTACAAAATGATGGGATTTGTTGTTACATGTTCATAGATGCACACAATATAATATAATTTAAATTTGGTTTTCATTCATGGTTCTTGGCTTTTAAGTCTGAAAGCTCTTGTTACTTATTAAATCACTACTGCAATAAGCATATCTTTTATTAGACTACATCACCTCTGTTCTAAGTGAATAGAGCAATACGCATATCTTCCGTTTAAGTATTTGACCATCTGTCCTTGGTTTATAGCAATGAAGATGAAAGACAGTGTTTTGTTATGATACTGGGGGAGCGTTAGGCTTCATAAAGCAAAGAATCTTATCTTTTATCTCCCTTTCACTTGCTCCTTTTTCTCTCAAAGGCAGGCCACAGAAACTAGAATTTCTCTTCATTCAAGGTGGGCCATAGAAACTAATTTTCCTTGCCTTTCTGACTTTCAGGTAGCCATAAAGAAATTCTCTGACCTACCATGGTTGATAGATCAGACACCCACATTTCAGAAAGAGTCCTCCCCATACCAAGGAAGAAGGAAAGCTACCCAGAAGGGCCAAGAACAATCTGATGAGGCATGCTTTGCTGTTTTCCCTACTCAGTCTTTTGCATTCGAGCATACCTTTTTTTGTCTAATCATGTTTCTACACGTGCTTTAATCACGCATATGTAGAAGTGTCCAATAAAAACCCAAAAGGATGAGGGTTCAGAAAGCTTCTGAACTCATTCACCCACCAGGAGGGTGGTGTATCCCAACTCCACAGGGATGGAAGTTCCTGTGCTCAGGACCCTTCAGATCTTGCCCCATCTCTCTCTTCTTATGGCTGTGTATTTGAATTTGTTAAAATATCCTTTATGATAAACTGGTGAATGTTTCCCTGAGTTCTTTAGCTGCTCTAGCAAATTAATTAAGCCCAAAGAGGAGGTAGTGGAACCCTAACTTGTAGTCAGTTGGTCAAATGTTCTGGAAGCTTGGACTTGCTCCTGGTGTCAGAAGTGGTAGTAGTCTTGTGGAATGAGCTCTCAACCAGTGAAATCTGACACTATCTCCAGGAACACAGCATTAAAACTGAATTAGACTAGAGGATGCCCAGTTGATGTTCTCTGCAAAACTACCTGCTTGCTTCCTGGTAGGGAGAAATCCTTGCACATTTTTTTGATCACAAAAGTGACTGGAGTTATATACATATCATAGGAGAAATCAAATTTTGAGTGTGATTTTACATGATGTCTTAGAAGATACAAGAGGCATTATTTATTAAATATTTTAGATTATTCTGGTACTGTGCAGAGAGCAGAGTTTAAGAAAATCAGGTGGTGGGTGAATGTTAGGAGGCCAATGACAAAGCACAGGCTAGAGGTGATGCTTACTAAGACTGGATGCTGCCAGTGAAGGTGCTGAGAAAATAGATATATTTGACACATATTGTAATAATAGCTAATATTTATTAAGTACTTGCTATATGCAGCACATTGTTCTAAGTACTTTTGGTAACTTAACATTTTAAATTCTAACAACCTTATGGCATTAGTAACCTTATTTCTATTTTGCAGGTAAGTATATAAAGAGGTGAAAATGGTCGAAGATCATAGAGCTAATTTGACTCCAGAATCCTCTGCTCATAACCATGAGACAGAAGTCTTAGTGGCAGACTGTAAAGGGGTGGTGGGAGAATATATGTGGGACTAATAAGATATCATGTGTAGCTCTGATTTCAGGCTTGTGTGAGTAGACAGAAGGTAGTGCAATTCACTGAGCTTTAGTACACTGCAGGAAGACCAGATTTCCAGGAACAGAGGATGAGTTTAATTTTGAAAACATAAAGCTGTACCTGCTTGTAAAGATCCTCAGAGATCAGGTAATTCAGGAGTTTAAAGCTAAATCCAGAGCTAGAGATATCAATTTGGGAGTCAGCGCATAAAGGACAAAACTCTGATTATGAGGGATGGAAGAAGATAGGGAGATGTAGGTCAATGAATTCAAGGCAGCAGATAAGTATAATGAAAATATCTTGAGATCTAACATACGACATGAGGACCATAGTTAATACTGATTTGTTTTTACTAATTGGGTAGATTTTAGTTGCTCTTGCCTCTCTAATATACACACATACAAAGACTCACAAAAAGGTAACAATGTGAGATAATGATGGATATTTTAATTTGCTTAATTGTAGTAACCATTTTGTTATCTTTATGTATTTCATAACATCATGTTGTACCTTACATATACATAATAAACTTTTTTAAAAAATCATGGTTGTAACATGGGGCTGTAGCTCAGTGGCGGAGCACTTGCCTAGTATGTATGAGGCACTGGATTCGATCCTCAGCACCACATAAAAATAAACAAATAAAATAAAGGCATTCTGTCCATCTATAACTACAAAAATTTTTTTTTAAATCATGGTTGTGGATAAACTTACTTGATGAGAAAATATAAAGTGGAAATATAAGAATGTATAGGTTACTAAATATAAGAACGTATAGGTTACTAAGTAAGAAATGCAAATATTGAATTCAGGTAAAGAAAAAAAGGCTGATAAAGGAGATTTACAAAGAGTAAACAAGAAAAAGTAATTCCACGGAAGCCAACTGAAAATAAAGAATGGTAAATAATGTTAGAAATCAAGGAATTTTATTTTTTATCAGGCAAATTTTCAAGCTTAAAAAAGGTAGACTGTTCTATAGTTCCAATGATTTTGAATGAAAATTCTTCTTTCATAAATGACTGCTGAGAATAAAAAAGAAACTTACCTTAAGGAATGGTCTAAGTTTTTCTATATTACTTAACTGAAATAGTTAAGATTGGAATCAAAAACTTTTGGTCATAAAGGAGCTTTCAATTTTTCAGTTTTTAGTGCAGAAAGCATAAGAGTTAGCAATACATTTTAATTTATATTATATGAAATAGATAATAAAATCATTCTTACCTATATAAAAAAAGATCTTTGGCAAGTCGCTTAGGTCCAATGATTTTGAAGATAATTTCATATGTTTCAAGTGCCTTCCGATGAACTCCACCTGGTAATGCTGGATGTAGACATTGAGCAAGGCGCTTGCCTATGGTCAGCTTTTTGGGTACTACCTGGTACTTTGCATTGTTTTGTAAAACCTTGAAGAAAACATTTTAATGCAGATGAGAAAAAAATATTTCGTTTTATTCCATTTTCTCGCATGTTATAAAAATTATCATTGTAGGGCATTCATTTTTGTCTGTGACATCAATATATATTTTATTTGAAATTTAAAAAAAAATTATTAATTTGCTTAAAAATATATCCATTCCATGTTAACAGAAAGAGCATATTGTTATTGAAACAATACTTGCCAAGACAAATTTATGGAGAGAAGAGGTTATTATCTGTAGTGAGTATTGAGTTGAAAATGAGTGTCTTTGCCATGTATTTTAAGATAAATTTCTAAGTGTGCTATGACGCTTGATGTTAATTATTGTAAGACCATACTTTTCCCATATATCCTTTTTAATATTTAGAGCATTCTTAGTTAATAACAAAAACAATTGTAAAATTAAGGGTGTAAGTTGAGAAAATTTTCATCTCAGTTAAAAAGCAAAAAGTTAAAATGAAAAGCTAGGAGATTATCAGTGATGCTACTATAATAAGTGTGGTTTAAACCAGATACATGAAGAAGGATCAATTCAAAGCCAAGCTCCAAGGTCTAAGTGACTATATATAGAGTTGCCTTTGTAAAAAGTACTGAATCACAGCTAAAGCTTATAAAACGTTTCCTTGTTGCTATACACGCATCATTTGGAAAGGATACAACAGTTACTGCTTTCCACTTGCAGTTTTTCATTTTGTTGCCAGGAACTCCAGAACCATATCTGATGCTCAACTAGAAAACTTACTAACCCTTATAGTTAGTTAGCAGCATCTTTGCTTCCCAGTCTTGTGTTTTTATAAGTGATAACAATGATAATAACTCTATTTTTAAAGCTCTGTTTTTTAATTAGAACTTCAAAAGTGCTAAACAGTATGCTTTGAAATAATAAAGTAAAATAGCACTATCAAAATTAATGTTTAGTTATGACTGCATATTCTTTACTTCAAGATTTAGAGAAATCCAATAAGATAAACACAGATTTCTGATTTTTTAATCTTTTAATGAAATGGACAAGATAAACATACCTTGTTAAGTTTTCCAAGTGCTGATATCAAATCTGCCCATTCACTGGAATATTCAAAATTCTTCAGTGCTTTGTCAATTGCAGCTACATAGTTTCTGTACTTGGAGTCACTCAATAACTCCACTTCTTCTGTGTTCATCCTCCCACAGTGTTCAGCTAAAGACTAGTTCCAAACTCATGCAAAATCATTACCTACAAAAGAGTGTGTAGGAGGACTCAAGGTTACAAAGCAAATTACTGAAATGGGTTCATATGGTCCTACTATAAAGGTAATGGCTAACTTTAAAATGTTTCATAAGTTAGAAGTGGTAAAAATTCAGGTCTCCTAGTTCACAGGTGATTGAAGTATTCAAAAGACTCAATGATAACTACATGTGCATTCTTTCCTGTAGGGAAACTGGGAAATGTTTGAGAATTTAGGGATACAAAAAAGAAATTTTATGACATTTATTTCAATTTAAAAATCATGTTATTTCTGTCACATTTGTTGATAGAACGTTTTATACACACACACACACACACATACACACACACAGCCTTCTACTTTGTCTTGATGCTAAAATAAATTAAGACTTGTTAGACTGGAAACATCGAGGACATGGGGGGGACAATTTTGAAGATCATTTTATTTATTAGGTATCTAGCATGAAGGAACATCAGCTGTATGGGATTAGATTTCCCTTTGAATAAAACTGACCAGAATATGTGGCTTAAAATATGTCCACAAAATATTTGATGTTCCTTTGAAAACACTGTGACTCAATTTTAATGAAAAGAATAAAGAAGACAAGACAATAGATAATAACCAACATGCAATAAAGGAACTTCACTTCAGTTTCCTGTGTGTTTGTGTGATACTGGAGATTGAATCCACGGTTTGCCCCATACTAGGAAAATGCGATGCTACTGAGCTATATTCCCAGCCCTTCAGTTTCCTGTTTACTCTCTTAAATCACTGGGCCAAACCAGCGGCCATATCATGAAATACCTTGAGGAACTCTACATAGAGGTCCCTATGGTGAAGAACCAAGGCTTTGTCACAGTCCCTGTGAGTGAGTCATCTTAGAAGTTATCTTCCAACCCCAGCCAAGCCTTGATTTGACTATACACCCAACAGACACCTTGAATGTCACTTAGTAAGAGACCCCAAAGTCAGAACTACATAGCTAAGTTTCTCAGATTCATGACCAACAGAAAGTTTTCTGTTTTAGGTCACTGCATTCTGGGGAAATATGTTACAGTTACACAGCAATAGATAATTAACAGAATAACAACAAGGACATAATTGAAGCTTAACTGAAAAATCAATGTGGTTTCTCCTCTACATTCTTTGTATCCTGACTTTTAAACACCTGTACCTTTACTGATGGCTATGTTTGTGGATGGGCAGGGAAGTCTCAGACTGAGCTTCGTGGATATCAAAACAATTCCATTGGGGTATAATAATATTTTCAACAAGCAGTTTAAGATACCTGGATATCTCATGCTTGAAAAAAAATGAATTTGCTCAACTGTACAAAAATAAACTTAAAATGGATCACAGATCTGAATGTACCAACTAGAGCTATAAAACTCCTAGAAGAATATACAGGAGTTAATCTTCATGACCCCTTTAAATATTTATGCAGGTCCCTAAAAACAATATTAAAAAAACACAAGCAAAAAATAAAAATAAAATATACATTACAACTTCATCAAAGGAGAGCTTCTGTGCTGCAAATGATACCACCAAGAAAGTGAAAAGACAACTGAAAGGAGAAAATATTATCTCCCACATATCTGACACGGTGCTTAAACTAGATATATAAAGAATAGCATCATCCCAAGATGATGCTAAAAGAACAAAAAATTTAAAAAATGAGCAAGAATATGAATAGACATTTCTACAAAGAAAATACACAAATGCTAAGTAAGTACATGAAGTAACACTCAACATCAATCATCAGGGAAATGCCAATCAAAACTATGAGATAATATTTCACACCCCTTAGGATGGCAATAATGATGATAATAATAATAACAATAGTAGACGATAACAAGTGTTGGTCAAGATATTGGGAAACTGGAACACTCATAAACTTCTGGAGTGAGAACTAATTGATGCAGCTTCTTTGAAAAACAGTGTGATGGTTCTCAAAAAGTTAAACATAAAATTATCACAAGACTCGGCCCAGATCCACCCCCACCGACCTCTGCAGGGCCCAGGTGCACAGCACACCTGGTCCACCCCTTTCCTGGTGGGGCAGATACTCACCAGAGCCTATCCTCTGGTGCAGGACCACCCCTTCTGACCAGTGGACTACTCCAGGAGCCAAGATCCAGCCCAGACTATCCACATCAGCACACAGGGATCCAGGCTCTCAGTAGGCCTGGTTCACTCCTCCCCTGCGAGGCAGACACTGGCAGAGCCAAGCCATTGGCACAGGACCGCCCCTTCTGACCAGCAGAGTACAGCAGGAGGTCAAGCCCAGGGTCCCAGATCCACCCACACCGGCCTTTGCTGGACCCAGGAGCACAGCAGGCCCAGTCCACCCAAGATGGGGCAGACACCCAACAGAGCCTAGCCTCTGGCGCAGGACTGCCCCTTCCAACCAGCAGACTACCATGGAAGGAAAGTGCCCCAAACAAACTAGTACACGATAATAACAAAACCTATAATCTGTGAATTAAATAATGACCTAAATGAGAAAATACAAGCAAAAACTGATCACTCCAACAATGAGATAAGAGAACAAATACAGGTAGCAAAAGATTACTGAGAGAGAGAGAGAGAGAGAGCGCCTAAAAAAAAAAGCCGAAAATCCTTGAAATGAAGGATACAATAAATCAAATAAAGAACTCAATAGAAAGCATAACCAACAGACTAGATCATGTGGAAGAAAGAATGTCATATAATGAAGACAAAGTATACAATCTGGAAAATAAAGTTGATTACATAGTGAAGAAAGTTAGAAACCAGGAACAGAACATCCAAGAATTATGGGACAGCATCAAAAGACCAAATCTAAGAGTTATTGTGAAAAAGGAAGGCACAGAGTTTCAAACCAAAGGAATGCACAATCTCTTCAATGAGATAGTATCAGAAAATTTCCCAAGCATGAAGAATGAATTGGAAAACCAAATACAAGAGGCTTACAGGACCTCAAATATACAAAATTACAACAGATCTACACCAAGGCACACTATAATGAAAATGCCTAGCATACAGAAAATCTAATCAGAGGAGAAACCAAGTCACATTAAATATCAAAAATAAACAGAAATGGCTGGGAATACAAATCATGTCTCAATAATAACCCTGAATGTTAATGGCTTAAACTCACCAATCAAACTCACATAGACTAGCAGATTGGATTTAAAAAAAAAAAAGACCCAACAATATGTTGCCTCAGACTCATCTCATAGAAAAAGACATTCACAGACTGAAGGTGAAGGGTTGGGAAAAATCATACCATTCACATGGACTGTGGAAGCAAGCAGGGGTTTCCATCCTCATATCAAATAAAGTAGACTTCAAACTAAAGTCAACCAAAAAGGATAAAGAAAGACACTACATACTGCTCAATGGAACCATATACCAACAAGACTTAACAATTATAAATATATATGCCCCAAACAACAGGGCAGCTATGTTCATCAAACAAACTCTTCTCAAGTTAAAGAGTCAAATAGACTACAACACAATAATTTTGAGTGTCTTTAACATACCTTTTTCATCACTAGATAGATCTTCCAAACAAAAGCTGAACAAAGAAACTACAGATCTCAATAATACAATCCATAACTTAGACTTAACTGACATATATAGAATATTCCAACCTTCAACAAGAGAATATACTTTCTTCTTAGTAGCACATGGATCCTTCTCTAAAATAGACCATGCACTATGCCACAAAGGAACTCTTAGTAAATATTAAAAAGTAGAATATACCCTGCATTCTATCAGATAATGATGGAATAAAATTAGAAATCAATGATAAAACAAGAAATAAAATCCACTCCAACACTTGTAGACTAAATAATATGCTACTGAATGAACAATGGGTTACAGAAGACATCAAGGAGGAGATTAAAAATTTTTAGAGGTGAATGAGAACAGATACAACATATCGAAATCTCTGGGACACTATGAAAGCAGTTCTAAGAGGAAAGTTTATTGCATAGAGTTCATTCCTTAAAAGAAGAAAAAGTTAACAAATAAATGACTTAACACTACATCTCAAAGCCTTAGAAAAAGAAGAACAAATCTACACCAAAAGCAGTAGAAAGAAGACAGGAAATAATCAAAGTCAGAGCTGAAATCAATGAAATTGAAACAAAAGAAACAATTGAAAAACTTGACAGAACCAAAAGTTGGTTCTTTGAAAAAAAAATAAATAAAATTGACAGACCCTTAGCCATGCTAACAAAGAGAAGGAGAGGGAAAACTCAAATCAATAATATACGTGATGAAAAAATAAATATCACAGCAGACACTACAGAAATACAGAAGATAATTAGAAATTATTTTTGAAAACCTGTACTCCAATAAAATAGAAAATATTGAAGACATCAACAAATTTCTAGAGTCATATAATTTGCCCAAATTGAGATAGGATGATATACACAATTTAAACAGATCAATTTCAAGTGAGAAAATAGCAGATACCATCAAAAGTCTACCAACCAAGAAAAGCCCAGGACTGAATGGATACACAGCCGAGTTCTCTAATTTATTTCACTCTCCAATTTATTTCAGGAAATAGAAAAAGAGGCATCACTTCCAAACTCATTCTATGAGGCCAATATCACTCTGATTCCAAAACCAGGCAGCAAAGACACATCAAAAAAAGAAAACTTCAGACCGATATCTCTCATGAACATAGATGAAAAATTCTCAATAAAATCCTGGCAAATCAAATACAAAGACATATCAAAAAGATCATGCACCATGATCAAGTGGGATTCATCCCAGGGATGCAAGGTTGGTTCAACATACGGAAATCAATAAATGTAATTTATCACATCAATAGCCTTAAAGATAAGAATCATATGATCATCTCAATAGATGCAAAAAAAGCATTTGACAAAATACAGCATCGCTTTATGTTCAAAACACTAGAAAAACTAGGAAACATATCTCAACATTATAAAGGCTATCTATGCTAAGCCCCAGGCCAACATCATTCTAAATGGAGAAAAATTGAAGGCAT